TATGTATGTGCGTATGTCTGTGTGTATGTATGCATGTATGTATGTATGTATGTATGATAGATATATAGATAGAGAGATAGATAGATAGATAAATAGATATATAGATATATATATATATAGATAGATGGATAGATAGATAGATAGAGAGATAGAAGGATATAGATAGATAGATAGATAGATAAATCAACAAATAGATGGATAGATAGATAGACAGATAGAAGCATCGATCGATAAATAGATAGATCGATAGCTAAATAGATCGATAAAAAGATAGATAGATAGATAGATAGATCGATAGGTAGATAGATAGATACATAGAAGGATACATAGATAAATAGATACATAGATAGACAACTAAATAGATAGATACATGGATAGATAGATGGATAAGGAGGTAAGTACATAGTCAGAGAAAAAGAAAGAAAGAGATGCGGACCAGGGGGGAATCGAATTGGGGGGGGGGCCCCCCCCCTAAGTCTCCGTTCGTGACTCTCGGGTCTCAATTTCCGGGAAAGGAGCAGCCACCTCCCCCAGTACTAAACTAGTACTAAAGTACATAGAACTCAGGTAGCCTAGGCTACCTTTCGTGATCTTATCCTACTATCTGTCTTTCTATCTAGCTATCTATCGATCGATCTATCTATCTATCTTTCTTATCTATCTAATCTATCTATCTAATCGATCTATCTAATCTATCTATCTAATCGATCTATCTAATCGATCTATCTTTCCAATCTATCTATCTAATCTATCTATCTATCTATCTATCTACCTACCTACCTACCTATCTATCTATCTATCTAGCTCTCGGTCTGTCTGTCTGTCTGTCTGTCTATCTATCTGCCTGTCTATCTGCAAGCTTGAAAACTTAGCTATTCTGCCAAGCTTCCTCAGTTTTTGAACTTGACAACATCAAAAACGCAGCAATTCTGCGAGACTTCCTCAATTTTTGAACTAGACAATTCAAAAACGAAGCAATTCTGCGAGACTTCCTCATTTTTCGAAGTTGACAACATCAAAAACGAAGCAATTCTGCGCGACTTCCTTCAAAAATGGAAAGTTGAGTGCAGAGCTGACGGCCTCGTACCAATGCGTTTTGCGATTTTTCCAGTCCACCTGTCGAAAGTACTGCACCTGCCACGAAAAAGTGATACCAGGTCATACGACCTGTCACGCAAAATCATCTCAGCAAACCTGAAGATCTGATGCTCCAAAGTGCAACCCCTCTCGGGAAATCAGCGCCCACCTCCTAACAGCTCCGATGAAGATGTCTCTTGCATTGCGCCTGCCACGGAAAATGCATCTTTGCAGATCCTCTTCAAATGTCCCACGCCTGCCATCGTTTTTGGAAATGCTACAAAAACCTCACGTCTTGCTCACTTTTGACAAGGTGCACAATCCCTTGCGCCTGCCACGCGAAACGAGATCTGAACGTCCAAAAGTGGTCCATACATGGTGTTTTTTGTACATTCTAACTTCGAAATGTGCTTCGCGCCATAACGGCGTGCACTTTTTCGACATCGCAACTTCCAAGAGTGCTCCAAACGTGAGGTTTTTTTAGTTTTTTCACTTGCAAATGTGCTTCGCGCCACAACCGCGTGCGCTTTTTCGACATCGCAACTTCCAAAAGTGTTCCGAAAGTGAGGTGCTTTTCGCTTTTTCACTTGCAAATGTGCTTCGCGCCACAACGTGCACTTTTTCGACATCTCAACTTCCAAAAGTGCTGAGGTGTTTTTAGATTTTTCACTTGCAAATGTGCTTCGCGCCACAACGGCGTGCACTTTTTCATCTCTCATCTGGCCAGATGGCTCCGCACCCGCCACTTTAGCGAGGCTACTTTTTGACCCTCCGGAGCCACAAATCATTGGAAAAACACAGTATTTCGCGACTTTCCTACCTTTTCGCGCATCTGCATCTTCTTTCTTCTGACTCTTTCTCTTCTCTGATCTTCTCTCTTCTACTCTTCTCTTCTCTCTGACTCTTCCCCTCTCTGCTTTTCATCTGTCCATATTGTCGGAAGTTTGACTTCTAAACTTTCTTCGAATATATAATGTAGCCAATTGTTGCGTGAAGCGGAAGATGACGCATGGCACCCTGTGGCCTCTGGGAGCAATTTGGTGATCTCTTTGCGGATGCTGCTGTAGGTCATCTGGCCGCAGGTTCTTGGACAGATTTAACAATCCGGAAGGAGCCATGCTTCACAACACACACACACACATCATATAGAATATGTATATATATATATATATATCTGTGTGTGTGTGTGGTCCCGTGTCTTGTGTTCAGCCCCACCCCCCCATCTACCACATCCACAGGGGAGGGATACATAGACATATGCATATACACATACACATACATACTGTATACATTTGCACATTTGCACATACACGTACTACATATGTATACATACACATATTCCTGTATAATCTGTATATATACATAGAATATTTAAATATACTCGAGCCATCTGAATCTACGTAAGAAGCCACTCACAATCGGGTCACAATACGGATCCAGGGCACAAGTCCTTGGAACCACTCCGCGCCTTCGCATAGCCTTCACTGACTTTGGCTGCCTTTGCCACATCCTCCAGCCTCCAAGGGGCACAGTTTCCCAGTTTCGAGTCACTCGGTGTTCAAACATCGGAACTAGTAGAAGGGGTTTCCAAATTTTCCAAAGGGGGCTCCTAGCATTGGAAAATTCAGGACTGGAATCCTGGAAATCCAGCTTCCATTCTAAATCAGGAAAGCTTCCATTCTGCACAAATCAGAACAGGAAACGAAGGTGTCAGTAGGAGTTCTTGCCATCAAAGAAAAAACACTTTCCAGACCTTGGCTTCTTCTCCACATCCAAAAGCCAGGCCACAATAAATATGGCACTAGCCATTGCACCAGTGACCACGAATCTCTCGTTGAGGTCCTAAACCAGGATTTGTTGTTTTTCCCGCTCACACCCACGCACTGCATCCTGAATTGTGTTCTGATGCTTGCCCTCAATTTTTTGAAGCTGAAACTCAGGGTTTCAACTGAGGCTCGGGAAAAAGGCTAGCAATTCGAATGATGGAGGAAGGGACCAATGTTCAGTCCCTTATCAAACTGATGCACCCAGTCGTGCCTTGGCAGTCCTCACAAGTCGTTTCCTGAGCACTTCTAAAGTTTTCTATCCAGCATCCAAAGTTCTGTCATTTCAGCATTGCATCGTCAATGCTTCCGTTTATGTCTCAGGCATGGGCTGCACAGCTTTGCTCGCAATGTGCTTGGCAGGTTTCACCACCTCCAATAGATGCAGAGATTTTACGGGTACACTTCACTTCAACAACCGGACCTCTGCAGCGAGACCCAAGCTTTGGACATAGCTTTTGTACAGATCCTGCAAGTACCATTGGAGTGTGCTTCACATCCGTATTCTTCAGAATGCAGATACTCGCTGTCCATTCGTCGCGCAGATATCTTTTTCCGCACTGAGTTCCAGTGTTGTATATACTAAAAATATCTAAAAATGGGTTGCAAAGATGTTGCAAAATGATGCAAAGAAATTGACCTCGTTCACTCTATCTTTCGCTGTGTTTCTTCCCACTCCTCTGTCTCAAAGTAATGGGCTCTAGCACGGTCCAAGGCCTCACAAGGTTGAAACATAAACTCAGGGCTCAGTCTGGCTTAGAGGTTTCATTGCAAATCCGAACAGAAAGGATATGATGGTATCACGCACACTCAAAGGGATTGGGGAAGCTCTTGACAAATTTTGACTTCTTGATCCTCTTTGCAGTGACAAATGCGATTTCTTGATCCCCTGTGGTTTGAAAGTTGTTTTCTGCCCCGAGATACTAAGGGATCAACGCAACAGAGTGCATCATACTGCTTGGTGATCGCCGCCACGCACTTCTTCTGGGCGGTGAAAGTAAGCAGCGCATCAAGATGATGAGGGCCGAGAAAACACCATGATAGAACATATCCAAAATCATCGAAACACTGAAAACACCCTACATCTGTAGGTGGGACGTTGAGAAGCGGTGGCCAAATTAAGCTGCCAACTTGGTGGAGGTCATCGAGTTGCTGTGAGAAGTACTCCTCCAACATCTCCTAATAGCTTCACTGGGAGCGGAATTTCAGCATTTGCCAACATCCAAGTTGCCCCTCCATAAGACAACTTCCAAGCAACTTTGCGTTGACTTCCCGGGCAAGACTGGCTCACAAACAAACCTGGCTAATGATATACCTTGGACTATGTTGCAGTCTCTATATACATATGTGATCATAAAATAACATATATATATATATTATATACCAACTGACTGCCGCAGCGAAGACTCGCTACTGAGTGCAGGAGGAAAAAAAATATTATACCAATATTATACCAATATTATACCCATATATAATATATACATGTATATTAATTATATATATATATACATACGGTGACATACCGTGTTGAAGTCATGTCCTCTGTGACGGCATCACGGTCTCCCTGCCATCGGATCAACAAGCTATTGGCCTGCGAATGAAGCACTGCCCCAAGGACTTCACATGGAAGTCCAGCAGCAAATGGGTCAAGCCACTGATCTGGTTGGTGGTTGAGCCACCAACCCCTCTGAAAAATGATGGAGTGAAAGTCAGTTGGGATAATGACATTCCCAATATATGGGAAAATAAAATTCACATTCCAAACCACCAATCAGTAATGATGTTCACATTTTGTCCCCTACTGTTTTCAATGAAACATGGTTGAATTCTGTGCAAGTTTCTCCGAGACAGCTGCCTGGCTAGGTGTGAGTGTCACCTGTCGAGGCCAAGACAACGGTCCGAATACTGACATGAACAGCCCGGAACACTCGGAACACTCGTCAATTGAGAGCTTTACGAAGCATTTGGTCAGAATTGCAACATCTTGCAGCCGCGCTTAAGATCAAAGGCCCATGGCCTATGGGATGCAAATCCATATACGATTATATATATATACACACATCATGAAGCCTTCAGACACAGGAAGTAGGGAAACAAAAGCACCGACAATGAACTGACCAGTTGTGGCCTGCATCTTGCCTATGATGACTTGACCCTTGAGCTCTTTTACAACAGCAGCCTGCCCACGACTTCGTGCTGCCCATGTTTAACTGTTTTGCTTTTGGGTCCTAGGGTCTCAGTGAGACCTGAATTCCAATCCGAACAAACTATCAATTGAACTTGCTCTAGCAAACTTAGCAACTTGTTTCCAATTGTTTCCTAGATTTTCTCAGCAGTCAGAACCGGCACCTGGTTAAAGGTGGCAGTCACGGCTCCGAATGTTCCCTCTGTACGCTTCAATTGCAGCATTTCCACCTGGGAAAATTGCAGGGCAACCGTGGCAACCTATGCCCGGCTCTAAGCATTGATACATCCCACCCGGTCCCACCCTGACTTTCTATCCTGATTGGTTTCCTGTGCTTTCCGCAGCACAAACTCTAGCCAGGGCAACCCATTCTATTGGCAATCCTACGTAGACTCCAGCAATCTGGAGATAAATTCAAGTATCCTTCCCCAATCCCACAGTCCGCTGCAAGGTCCACCTTACTGGCAATCTGGTGGCGGTGTGCATAGGCAAAGTCATGCACAGTCTTCTGCACAAACGGCTCCTTCACTCTTCAAAAATTAAACCACAGCTTTGGCCTTCGGTGTGGTCCCTGGCCATGTAAAAAGTTGCATGAAACCGAGTCTGTACATCCCAGTTAGTCGAGACAAGTTCTTTCAGCGCCGAATCAGGACCAGGTGGACCCGATGTTTGGCTGTGCACAGTTTGGCTATATAGGATTTGGTCTGAAGCCTCCTACAGTAGATCCACAATTTTGGAAGGTCCTCCTCGCAAGCAATCTCCACCAAGGCGCAATACCACGGCGTCTCGGATGCAGGAGCTGAGTGCCGACTGTTTCAACTGCTGACATTGCTGCAACGTGCTGCTGACAGAAAGAAGCTGAAATCAAAATAGATGTTGGAAAATACCCCTTCCATCAAAGAAAGTACCTGGTAACTGCTTTTGAGAAGCTTCTTGGCGGCCAAATCCTGACAGCCAGGAAAATATACTTGGCGACCAAGCCCAGTTTCACCAGCCTTTAGTTTTCTGGATGCAGTCCTGCAGCAGCATGGTGCAGCGATTGACCTGAGGCATCAAGTCATTGACTCACAGGCATGATGCAAAAACAGGATGGACAAGGCAAGTGAATAAATATCGGGACTCTAATACCTGTTTAACTTGTAGGATCTCTCGTCCTCAGGCGGACACAATCTCCTCTCCCAGACTAAGCCGACGAGCAACGTCGCGAGCCTCTCAGCAGAAAACATTCAGAAGCAAAGTCGACACTTGAACAGGTTTGGAAAAATCAGACCATCAAAACTGGGCACCACCAAACCGGACCAAACAATCACTTGCAAGACTTCTATGGGAGAAAAAACTCATACTCTCGGTGAGAAGGCACTAATCAGCAACAACCTCGCTTTAATGAGCGCAAAACAATTCTCTCTGGAGACACACTACGGCAAAACTCTTTTCAAGAGCTTACCGACTCTCGTCTCCAAAAAGCCATTCATGATCTTTATTGTATTTTATTGTATCGTCTCAGATTGTCTCAGTACATCTTCAAACGTCAATGACTAATGAACTCCACTTCATTCTGAATGCAGTTTGAATGCGTTCTCGACTCGAGGACTGCCAAACAAATGGCTGTTCTCGCTGAAATGAACGCCACTGGTTCTTCTGGGGAGATTAACTACGGCAAAGGTCTATTCTATTTAAGACCCTGCCGACTCTGGTCTCCCTACAACCCAGGACAGCTGCCTCACCGTTGCCTCACCGTTACCTCACTGGTACCTCACTGTGACCTCACCGATACCTCACCTCATCATACTATTCATATGCATTCATGGTATCGAACTACAGTCCTTCTCAGGAGTTTCAAGTTTCCCATTCAGTGAGGTTTCAACTTACATGCCTGATAAATATACTGTAGACGCCATATCAGCACCCTCCGACACGAGAAAAGGCATTAATTAGCAACAACCTCGCTTTAATGAGCGCAAAACAATTCTCTCTGGAGACACACTACGGCAAAACTCTTTTCAAGAGCTTACCGACTCTTGTCTCCAAAAAGCCATTCATGATCTTTATTGTATTTTATTGTATCGTCTCAGATGGTCTCAGTACATCTTCAAACGTCAATGACTAATGAACTCCACTTCATTCTGAATGCAGTTTGAATGCGTTCTCGACTCGAGGACTGCCAAACAAATGGCTGTTCTCGCTGAAATGAACGCCACTGGTTCTTCTGGGGAGATTAACTACGGCAAAGGTCTATTCTACTTAAGACCCTGCCGACTCTGGTCTCCCTACAACCCAGGACAGCTACCTCACCGTTGCCTCACCGTTACCTCACTGGTACTTCACTGTTACCTCACCTCATCATACTATTCATATCCTATTATCCATTCATGGCATCAACTTATTACAGTCCTTCTCAGGAGTTTCAAGTTTCCCATTCAGTGAGAATTCAACTTACATATGCCCTGATAAATATCAACGCCATATCAGCACCCTCCGACACGAGAAAAGGCATTAATTAGCAACAACCTCGCTTTAATGAGCGCAAAACAATTCTCTCTGGAGACACACTACGGCAAAACTCTTTTCAAGAGCTTACCGACTCTCGTCTCCAAAAAGCCATTCATGATCTTTATTATATTTTATTGTATCGTCTCAGATTGTCTCAGTACATCTTCAAACGTCAATGACTAATGAACTCCACTTCATTCTGAATGCAGTTTGAATGCGTTCTCGACTCGAGGACTGCCAAACAAATGGCTGTTCTCGCTGAAATGAACGCCACTGGTTCTTCTGGGGAGATTAACTACGGCAAAGGTCTATTCTATCTAAGACCCTGCCAACTCTGGTCTCCCTACAACCCCGGACAGCTGCCTCACCGTTGCCTCACCGTTACCTCACCGCTACCTCACTGTGACCTCACCGATACCTCACCTCATCATACTATTCATATGCATTCATGGTATCGAACTACAGTCCTTCTCAGGAGTTTCAAGTTTCCCATTCAGTGAGGTTTCAACTTACATATAAATATATCCTGATAAATATCAACGCCGTATCAGCACCCTCCGACACGAGAAAAGGCATTAATTAGCAACAACCTCGCTTTAATGAGCGCAAAACAATTCTCTCTGGAGACACACTACGGCAAAACTCTTTTCAAGAGCTTACCGACTCTTGTCTCCAAAAAGCCATTCATGATCTTTATTGTATTTTATTGTATCGTCTCAGATGGTCTCAGTACATCTTCAAACGTCAATGACTAATGAACTCCACTTCATTCTGAATGCAGTTTGAATGCGTTCTCGACTCGAGGACTGCCAAACAAATGGCTGTTCTCGCTGAAATGAACGCTACTGGTTCTTCTGGGGAGATTAACTACGGCAAAGGTCTATTCTATTTAAGACCCTGCCGACTCTGGTCTCCCTACAACCCAGGACAGCTACCTCACCGTTGCCTCACCGTTACCTCACTGGTACCTCACTGTTACCTCACCTCATCATACTATTCATATCCTATTATCCATTCATGGCATCAACTTATTACAGTCCTTCTCAGGAGTTTCAAGTTTCCCATTCAGTGAGGTTTCAACTTACATGCCTGATAAATATACAGTACTGTAAACTCCATATCCGCACCCTCCGACACGAGAAAAGGCATTAATTAGCAACAACCTCGCTTTAATGAGCGCAAAACAATTCTCTCTGGAGACACACTACGGCAAAACTCTTTTCAAGAGCTTACCGACTCTCGTCTCCAAAAAGCCATTCATGATCTTTATTGTATTTTATTGTATCGTCTCAGATTGTCTCAGTACATCTTCAAACGTCAATGACTAATGAACTCCACTTCATTCTGAATGCGGTTTGAATGTGTTCTCGACTCGAGCACTGCCAAACAAATGGCTGTTCTCGCTGAAATGAAGGCCACTGGCTCTTCTGGGGAGATTAACTACGGCAAAGGTCTATTCTACTTAAGACCCTGCCGACTCTGGTCTCCCTACAACCCAGGTCAGCTGCCTCACCGTTGCCTCACCGTTACCTCACCGCTACCTCACTGTGACCTCACCGATACCTCACCTCATCATACTATTCATATGCATTCATGGTATCGAACTACAGTCCTTCTCAGGAGTTTCAAGTTTCCCATTCAGTGAGAATTCAACTTACATATAAATATGCCCTGATAAATATCAACGCCATATCAGCACCCTCCGACACGAGAAAAAGGCACTAATCAGCAACAACCTCGCTTTAATGAGCGCAAAACAATTCTCTCTGGAGACACACTACGGCAAAACTCTTTTCAAGAGCTTACCGACTCTCGTCTCCAAAAAGCCATTCATGATCTTTATTGTATTTTATTGTATCGTCTCAGATTGTCTCAGTACATCTTCAAACGTCAATGACTAATGAACTCCACTTCATTCTGAATGCGGTTTGAATGTGTTCTCGACTCGAGCACTGCCAAACAAATGGCTGTTCTCGCTGAAATGAACGCCACTGGTTCTTCTGGGGAGATTAACTACGGCAAAGGTCTATTCTACTTAAGACCCTGCCGACTCTGGTCTCCCTACAACCCAGGTCAGCTGCCTCACTGTTGCCTCACCGTTACCTCACTGTGACCTCACCGATACCTCACCTCATCATACTATTCATATGCATTCATGGTATCGAACTACAGTCCTTCTCAGGAGTTTCAAGTTTCCCATTCAGTGAGGTTTCAACTTACATATAAATATGCCCTGATAAATATCAACGCCATATCAGCACCCTCCGACACGAGAAAAAGGCACTAATCAGCAACAACCTCGCTTTAATGAGCGCAAAACAATTCTCTCTGGAGACACACTACGGCAAAACTCTTTTCAAGAGCTTACCGACTCTCGTCTCCAAAAAGCCATTCATGATCTTTATTGTATTTTATTGTATCGTCTCAGATTGTCTCAGTGCATCTTCAAACGTCAATGACTAATGAACTCCACTTCATTCTGAATGCAGTTTGAATGCGTTCTCGACTCGAGGACTGCCAAACAAATGGCTGTTCTCGCTGAAATGAACGCCACTGGTTCTTCTGGGGAGATTAACTACGGCAAAGGTCTATTCTACTTAAGACCCTACCGACTCTGGTCTCCCTACAACCCAGGACAGCTACCTCACCGTTGCCTCACCGTTACCTCACTGGTACCTCACTGTTACCTCACCTCATCATACTATTCATATCCATTCATGGCATCTTATTGCAGTCCTTCTCAGGAGTTTCAAGTTTCCCATTCAGTGAGAATTCAACTTACATATAAATATGCCCTGATAAATATCAACGCCATATCAGCACCCTCCGACGCGAGAAAAGGCATTAATTAGCAACAACCTCGCTTTAATGAGCACAAAACAATTCTCTCTGGAGACACACTACGGCAAAACTCTTTTCAAGAGCTTACCGACTCTCGTCTCCAAAAAGCCATTCATGATCTTTATTGTATTTTATTGTATCGTCTCAGATGGTCTCAGTACATCTTCAAACGTCAATGACTAATGAACTCCACTTCATTCTGAATGCGGTTTGAATGCGTTCTCGACTCGAGCACTGCCAAACAAATGGCTGTTCTCGCTGAAATGAACGCCACTGGTTCTTCTGGGGAGATTAACTACGGCAAAGGTCTATTCTACTTAAGACCCTGCCGACTCTGGTCTCCCTACAACCCAGGACAGCTTTCGGAAGGCAAACCGCCAGCAGCTAGAATGAAGATTCCAACGACTAACGACACTCCACTATTTCTCACCGGGCAACCGAGCCACCAGACACATCATGACATCAAAGGTTCTCATCTTTGACCATTTGGATCCATTTGGACCAAAATATGCCAAAATCTCCAGCCTTTTCAGTGAAGTGCTGTATGCTTTTATCTTCCTTTTGCTCTGCTGATAGCTCCTGGGATCAGTGCGATCAGGGCCAACCGGACAAGACTTGCCCTGGTCTGCCCACGAGTGCACAGCTGGAGTGGCTCCGGCTTGGTGGCATTCTGCGCGGAGCGTAGCTTCATCTGCAGGCGTTGCCTAGGATCCAGGCAAATGCCATCATGGAATGCTGTGAAGTCATGAAGTCACACAGAATCTTCAGAAAGATGCTGCAAATATCTACAAATGCTACAAGATATTGGTCACATTTGGTCAGTCACGAGTTCCAAAGTATTTCGATGTGGGAATTGAGCTGCCGGACGCCTTTGGGCCTGCACCGACAATCAGCGTGCCACCACCCTGGCCACATTACGCCCCAAAGTGAATAAAGTGAGCATCCTGCAGACTCACAAAATTGACCTCAAAAAGGAGCAACCAATTAACCAATTCAACAAAGTCCTCTTGTTGGTCTCTCGAAGCAGTCACATTCAGTGCTTCGCCTCACTAGTGCCTTGATCAATCGTACTGGTGACATCAGCTCGTTCTCGACCAGTGTTGGCCTGACATGATTCTGCAAGTTATTTGGCAAACACAAGCGGAGGAGTAGGTAGCAAGTTTCGGGAGACAAATCTCAGGAGGCAGCTGGAAGACAGTCGAAATAGATACAAAGACCAGCTAGGCAGCAAGTCGGGAAACCAGTGCTAGACTGAAATCAAAGGAGGAAGGGAGACAAGCTGCGAGACAAGCCCAAAAATCCTATGTCCTTGGCATCCCACGACTAAACAAGAGTAAGAAGCTCCAGGAAAACAGTGTGAGAAATTAAGAGTTCAGTAAAAAATAGACAAAAAGTATAGAAAAGTTTTGAAAAGTGAGTTTATACCCCAACAGCATCTCAAGACCACCTCCTTGCACCACATGGAGAGGACCCCGACAAGCTCAACAATGGTCAAGTATGTCAAGTTCAAATCCTGAAATTCTTAAAACCTGTGGGAATAATCCATAACTCCATAAACTTAGTGTCAACATGCCTGCTCTGCAACCTCCAATTACCTCTACCAAACCTTGAGTAGGAACCTTCAGCAATTTACCAAACCTGCTGCAACCTCTATGAGAGCCCGGAGAATGCTTACAGCTCGGTTTACAACATCCTGGAGCATACCAAACCTGCCAGCACACTGTATAATATATAAATCAATCTAGGCTTACAAGCAGCCCCAGAACCACTTGTCTGTCTACACCACAAGCAGAGCGTAGTGGAGCTAAACTAAGCTGGTCCCGACCCCCAACTGCACAACTCTCATGTGTGGAGAATGCTGTTGCGCCTGAGAATCGACACCTTCAGAAGCAAACACGCGCCACTCCCTTCCTTCATCAAAGCAATGGTCCTTTCAAGAGCATAGCAATGCAGCAAAACTATTGAAACAGGAATAAAACTAGTGAGTTGAGGCTTTCTGAGAAACAACAGCAAGAGCAAGAGACTCGTCCTCCAGAACTGTTGCGCAGCCTCCAGGACTCAAAAGACTCAATTACTTCTCCACTCATTCTAGCAGCACCAAAGCTGTGCCTATGCAAATAACTGACCCAGAGGCCCCATCGTAGATCACCTGAAAGAACAATTGAACCAATCTCGCCGAGTCGAAATTTCGCAGGTCCTTAACATGCCCATCTGGACAGAACCTCTATATAGTATCCTCTAGTAAAAACAAACTCAATGAACACAATGGATTGCAACACATAGGAAAATGTACGTAAGAAAATGTACAGTAATTCGAGTCTGTGTTTACAGTGCACGTGATCCTAAAACATAAAAAAAAATGACGCATCCTTTCTGTTTATTGAGTTACGGTCTCCAGGCCACTTCAACGGGCAACCTCACTCATCTCAAATGGATACACAAGCCTGCGTCCACATTCACGCGCCTAAGACCTTTAGGGACATGCAGATGGAACAACTATCTTCCATGTTGCAACTAATTCATCCAAACATTTCTCCCTATTTCTCCTACATTCGCCACTGGCATCCTTTTTTGGGTCTCGCCTTGCTGCCTGGAGGGCAGTACCGACAGCTGATCCTGCCAGCACTTGCCAGGTCTGTTAAGAATTTCAACAGCTCGATGTTGTCCTTGGATTGATGGCTATGTCGGTCATCAGGCCTGGGACGACGCTGCGAAATTTAAGGTGCCCTGAAAAAATAGGACGACGACTGATTTAAGATGATTTAAGGCTGTGGCCGTGAGCCGAAGGCTAACACAGACTGTGTGATCATAGACTCAAAGGATTTGGAAGTTTTGCAAGTGGGTTGCGCACTACGTTGCTCCGACATGGAATTTGCTACAAGGATCAATCTGCATGCGTGTTTGTGTGCGTGCGCGTTGCAGGTTCGTGTAAACAGAGCTGCCGCGATTTGCTGTTTGACGCACAGAGAAATCTCCATGTTCGGAACAGCAAATCTTGTTTCAATGAGCAAAGCGGCTACAGCTCAGGAAAAATCTTGTGAAGTCTTGTGAGCAGGACACAGCAGAATGTTTGGGTCATCTATGGGTCATCTATGGTCATCGTCATCGGGTGCCTCCGGTGATTCCAGTGCCATGCCTCCAGGCGACACGGAAATTTGTTCTGTCAGAGCTTTTAACGATAGCCACATGCCATGATAACTAAGAGATACTAAGAGAATATGATCAGAATATGCCAATATATGCCAATATATGCCACATAAGAAACTAAGATCACATGTCTGTGGCTGTTCAGCTGGAAAGCTACCACACTAATCATAATCCAAGCAGCCGCCCCTCTTCGAGCCAGGAACTCGCCCCGGGGCGTGAGCCGTGATGTCGGCGCGCGCGAAACTTGTGGAAAGTGCATGGAGACGAGGAGGGCAAACACGAACACGTCACCAGTGCGCAAATATGATGACATGCTTTCTTGGTAAATGTGCACAATTTGTCAAGGACCCATCCCTTTTATGGGGTCTCTGATTGAGAGGACTCCGCCTTCTGGTTCCAAGATGTTCTAAGTTGATTTTTGTTACATGTTGAAGTGGCCTTTACATGCCACCGTGTCAAGGCCAAGACCCTGGGCTCTTTACCCCTCGCATGGAATGTGCAAGGCCTGAGATGTCAAAGCGACGTGACAGCCGTGACAGCCGTGACAGCCGTGACAGCCGTGACAGCCGTGACAGCCGTGACAGCCGTGACAGCCGTGACAGCCGTGCCTGCCACACATTGTGTGCCAAGAAGTGACCAAAGGAAGGCGCTTGCACCTCAGCCAGAAGCCAAACCTAAACTGGAGCTGGATGGAAGTTGCAGCTTGAGCACTGCATGGGCCTCCAAGACAACACTGCTTCATTGCCATGGCATAGCCTGCGCAGCAACAAAATCCTGATACAAAAGATATACAAAGCACATAGGTTTGCGTGAAAGCTGTTTCCTTCAAATGACGTTGCCGAAACACTAAGTGTCACAAGTGCCCTTTTTATAAACATGCCAGGAGTTCCTGCCACAAAGCAGTGGCTAAGCTGTGCCGCTAGAGTGGCCGCGGGTCAGAATCAAAGCAATTGCATACCACTGCACAGCATTGAACAACATGCGCTTGCACAACACTCCCAGATTGCATGGTAAAGTCATTGTTGCCTTGGAGTTTCATCCGTTTTCAGCTGGAAATCGAGATCTTCTGCACGGCGGACGGCACTTTATGCAAACACATAACAACTACCCAAGTAACCAGGGTATCACATTTGAATCTGACATCGTAGGTTCACCTTCACTCAAAATCGTTCAAACAGGTCTAGAACTGCCAGTCATTAGAGACGAAGCACTGGAGTCGCTGTCCCAATTCTCTGGGTTCAGCGACAAATCAATCGTGTTTAAATTGCTGTGGACAGGTGGGACCAACTGCTCATGATGCCGTCGCCGCCCAAGAATCGCTAGGACGTGTCGATTGAAGTACTTGATGTCAATCACATCAGAAGGTTCTTCTGGAACGAAAGCAGAAACTGCGGCTTGAAGCAAAAATATCACATGTTCTCCAATGATAAACATGGTCAATTGCTGCCCTGGTGGACGGAGACGCATTGGATAGAAAAAAATTGAAGCAAGTCCCACATTGCAGGCTACAGCAGCCACATTGGTGTAGAGAATGATTGATTTCCAAATGCCAAGTCCAGCAGTTGCGTGTGGTAAGGGGCGACGTGCCACATACAGCATCCTGGGAAAGGCAGGCATTTGTAATCTTTCCAAACACACAAGTCTGAAGACATTCTGAAGACATTCTGAAAACGTTCTGAAGGCATTCTGAAGGCATTCTGAAGGCATTCTGAAGGCATTTGTGCAGTTTAGAGATATTTAGTGCATGACAAACATTGCTGGCCACGCCTGTACATTCGCAGGTGCATGGAGATGAACAGCACAACGAGGGCTAGCGTAGCGATCGTTGGCAAAATGCAGCCCCAGCAAGCTACAACGGAGTATGCAACGGTGATGTCCAAAAAATCTGTCACTCTGTCACCACCCCAGGAGTCATACACATATTGAAATTTCTTCGCCTCCCATTGCAGGATTGAATATGAGAAGTCTTGATTGCCCTCCGCCTCTTCTGCATTGCGGTACTCCTGCATTTCAGCACTTCAGCACCAAGAACAAAAGGTGCAGACGGTGAAAAAGACAAGATTCACAAAATATAGCCCGGTGAATTCTAGAGATGACATGAATGTGAACAAAGTGGCCTCGGCCGCAAGAAGCCAACTCTTTACTTTTTTTCAAGGTCCTTATTGATCTCCCAACGTGATAGAACGATGGGCCAGATCAGAAATACCATATCCAGCACAAGGAGGAAAACAAAGTACGTGAGGAGGTTGGCAGTCACATCATAGTCACCTAACGTGTGGTGCCAACCGAAGTGCCAAATTTGGACTCACCTCTGTGGATCCTGTGGATCCAAAAGTCCTGTCTGAAAGATCATGTGCACAAATAGATACCTGTAAAAATTACATATATACATTAAATTATATAATCATATTTGTTTATACGTGTATATATATATATATGTGTGTGGTATATGAATGTATTATATATATATATAAATACACTTGTACGTATAAACTCCAGTTGCTCAGAGCTGAAGAAAAAGATGTCCACTGCCTGGAGCAACTGAGCCGGACACAATTCGTTCTCGAGTCTTCACGAGCATAATGCCAATCAGGCGGAAAGCAACCGTTGATGCAAAAGGTCTCGTCTTCTCGACCCCGGATTCTTCTACTCCAAGTGAATGTGTACTTCAGCAGGGCCTGGGTCGAATCGGAGAGAAGAAAAAACATTTTTGCACTAAGGATAGACTGTCCGTTGGTAGAGAGAATCTAGCCTTGATATCTCAAGTCAATTCCACACCGTTGTCAAGGAGCTTCTTTGGTCTGACTGTCGATGAGGCTCTCATTGAAGCCAGGCCAAACTGTAGGCGCAACCTGACGGAAGTATCAAGTATTGCAGTGCCAACAAGCATTTGGCCATCAAAAGTCCAGCCGTGCAACACCAACAACAAAAGTTTGACAAAGCTCAATGGTTTGTCCATGTTTGTCCAGCCTCTTCGAAGTTCTTTCCGCATTTGGTCTCCACAAAATTGGTAAGGAAGCAGCTGTAGAAGAACGGGAAGTTTGTCATCAGAAGCTTCACTCCGGACAGAGTCAATGCAAGGGCATCCTGAGAGAGATGCTTGCATGGTCCTGTTGCCATCTAACCCATGCGTCAATCAGAGTGACTAAAATGACCCAAATAGAAAATATCTCGGTCCAAAGGTAAAGCCAGGCATCATCATATCCTTTCAAAGTTCTGTGGTTTTCAAGGCTCACCACAAAAGGCGCTAGAAATCTCCAGCCAAGTCCTCCTATCTTGATAAGAATACTCAGAATCAGTGAGGCTCGCTGGAAGAGCGAATCTTTTTGTCGGTTGGAATTGAACTGCCAAGCCAAAAGGGCAGAGATCGCCGCTATGTACAAGGTCACGAAGCAAAGAGTGATAAAGGTGGAAAGGAGCTTGCCCCACTCCTGACAGCTTTAAGACATCCAGTACTCAGAAAAGACGCAAATTTCACTGCAATGACGGTCACATTATCCTCTGACAAGCATGCGTTCCCACTCTCTCCAACAATAGTACTGATACCGTCGGCACAAGTACGAACCAATGCCATCTTGAGCATCATCAAACAGGAAGGTAAAAAATTACATGAATCATGAATAACATAGAACAAGTACAAGCTAACTACATAAAGCAACATTACAAATTTGACCGCAAAGTTTGGCCAAAGTTTTCAGCAAAGCAGCCCCGCTGTGAGGAGTTGGGTTCCAGTCAGGATTTGGCATCTCCCTTGCTTCCCTTTCGTGCACACCCCAGAGCTGTTTCATTCGAGCAGTTTTGCGTTCAAAGACGTGAAGAGAGCTTGCAGCCCAGATCGACATCGGAACACAGAGTGAAGTCCTTAGTCCATCAAGCCTGTGTCCTTCGACTTCAACGAACTGGGTCACAATCAGGAAAATCAATCCTGCGGTGCCCGGGAAAAGAAGAGATCGACAGAGGTGGCCCAAGAATCCAAAAAAAAATGCGATCTCCTCCCCAAAGTATCGCCGAATGGTAATGGCACTCGTATGGGGAGTGAAAGTCATCCATTGTCTCGGAGCCAGAAGTGCAGAATGAATCTGGTGAAGTTCACCAGCATCTGGGCATGGAAAATGGCAGCTGATGACTCCTTGTCGCTCCATTTCATCCAGGCTCACCCATTCATTCAACCAAAAACTCAGAATGCGAATCGAGTCCACCTTTCGGAAGTCCTGAAAGTTCTTCTTGTCTGGAATCGAGAATTCACAATATGCCACAACAGGCTGTGCATCAAAATTTTCCATTGGAGCTCCCCCAGGATAAGGGGCATGAGGTTCAATACCCTGATACACCGTTTCTTTCAGTGGCATGTTGTAGTGCAAGGCATCAGCCATGAAGTCAATCACCTGCCCTTGTTCCGGCAGCCAAATCTTCAAGAAGGTTTCGTCACCATCAAGGCTTGAAAATTGGCTGGCTTCCAACCCAGACTGAGCTAGGATTTCGATAAAACGATCACGGATATCTTCCTGATAAAGCTCCATGCAGACAGGTTCATCATCGACTTTGATATGTTTCAATCTCTCGCACGTAATTTTGCTGTCACATGCAAAAGTGTGAAAGATTCTTCTGGCTCTCGATAGCGGTTTGTCGATCAACTCATGTGATTTCACAGTTCCCCCTGCAGCCCGGTTTCTTGGAAACACCATTACTAAAGTGCAGTTTTGTGTATCCATGCGGAGAGAAGGAAGGAAACCTGGTAGCTGTCCATCATAACTCACAAATTGCCGCATATCCCGGCCTCTCATGTACTTGTCATCTTGCATGTACATTGCAGCGAGCGATCCAAATCGTGTGGTTATAGAACGAATTTCAAATACAGCACATATGTATGTTTACCTATAATATATACATACATATATATATATATACTGTACTACATATTGAAACATAAGGGCACTCGGGCAGTGTAGATGTCTTGGCGAACCAAAAACTGCACCTTGAAACCAACAATGTTTTTGTTCACTGTTGGTTTGTTTTTGTTATCTATTGTGACTATTGGTTCTGATTTTGGTATCGAACAATGCAGCTGAGACATTGACATGTTTCTAATGGGGATGCACAAGCATTGATGTAGAATGGCAACTGCGACAAGTGGACAATGACATGCCAAACATCATACGCAACGAATGGAAACAACCAAACAAAAGCAAATGTGGAATTGGATTTGTACATTCAACATTGCAGTTCGCCCAAATTTTAAAGAATAATCTCGGCATCGTGACCCAGCGGTGAAAGCAGGGAGAACGGATTGGAAAACAGGCAGACCAGTTCAAAGAATGTTTCATCCTGCAGGGTTTGTCATTTCTCGCCAAAGAAAAAGTACGGCAAAAAGTTCGCCACGTACTCATCGAACTCATCCTCAGGGGGGAGCAGCACTGACTGGTTGTCGATGAGGAGCAGCAAAAGGTAGAACAGGATGAGCAGCACAATGCCTGTAAGCATCACCAAAATGGTAGGGATGCTGTCCTCCTTGGCAACAACACCTGCTTCAGCATTCAATGGTTTCAATAAGTCTGAAAGGCCTGTGCGAATGCCATAACCCTCTGGAAGCGGGTCACGTTCGCCATAAGGCGCTGTCTGCTTCGCATTGCCCACAGGAAAGTAGCCTTGAGCTGCCGCAGAGACGGACACATTCCTTTGTGTGACAGGGCCATTCACGAAGTTGATACCAGACCGCAGCACGCAAGCAAGCAGACCAAAAAGTAGCAGGTTCAAAATGTTAAACCTCGGCGTCCGCAGCATGGAGTGGACAAAATCCAATACATGTCCGTTTGATACATTTTCAAATTTAAAAAAACATATCAACAGCCAACCAAGGCAGCAACTTTGGAGACATGTTGGATGCAACGCGCAAGATCCGCACCCAATGCAAATACAAGTGGACCACAAGCTGCAAGCAACACAGTGTGCGATTGATTTTGCAAATGCCCCTCAAATTCATCAATGGCAGTTTGGCACAAAAATTGTGATAAACAGAAACCGACAAACAAAAATTTTCAAATGAACGCCAACCCTACTGAATTTCAGTATTTGTTTGTTTATCATTGTCATGATTTTGAGGTTCATTTCCAACACTCATTTTCAGCATGATCCCGATCATAAAAATGCAAAAAATGCCCGTTTTCCCATGATTTTTTGTCCAAACATTGTCCACATTGCTGGTTTTGTCCAATCTCATTCAGACGGAACCAAATTTTTTTTAACTCTATCAGGAAAGGTGCGAGTAGGTTTAGATCCTACTTACGCTCGGACGAAAAACCCTATATAACATTTCAAATGCATGCAGCAACTGAAAGTACGAGGCGACGCGATCGGACACTTTTTTTCCTCCAGGGATTTTGAAGCTCCAGGGTTGTGTGATTTCAGGCCCGATCCGCTTTGGATCAATTTACACATCACAAGACCACGTAAAAGGAACTCTTACTTCCTCAATGGTGATGTAGAAACCTTGCCACCCATGTTTAGCGGAGTCACCATTTTGTCTTTGATGCCAATTTCTGTCTCTTAGACGATTTGGCCTGAACTGAGGGCAGTTTCCTCTTTTCCTTCCAACCCCGGACCTCCTACCTGAGTTTCAGAAGCTCGTCCATCATGGACCAGTCCAACGTCTTCCAACTGACTTCATGGCGCGGATGCGGGTAGAAACGATCGAATTTCAAATTCGTCAGGTCATCCGCTTCCTCATTCGTTTCTCCCGGTCGCCATCGCAACCTGAAAACCAATCCATGAAGATAACACTTCAATCCCAAGTGGATCTGCACGTAGGACAAAGGAAACTTGTTGTTGGATCCTTTCCTGGTGATGTGCTCTGTTGCCAGGTTATCAGTTCCCGCTTCCAAAGTCACTTGCCGGGGGCGTGATCCTACCTGGAATTGACCGAACACCTCCAGCGCCACCAAAAAAACTAGGAGCTCCGCCACTGTGCTTCAAGACGGAAGATGATCTGCATCAAACAGCCATGGTGCATCTTCTGTGCTCACCTCGAAGGAGAACCAGCGGGATTTCTTCGGATCAGCCCACAAGAATGATCCTGGACTCGTGGCACTTAGCATCCGTGCGAAATGATTGGTCGCCTCCACGTAGAGGACTCCAGCCCGAAGTGCGGTTGAACCCTTTCTTCAACATTCCGGCAATGAACAAGAGGATAATAGAAACGGTTTGCAGAAGTATGACAACCGTACCAGGGGCCACCGCACTTTTCCAAGCGTGGAACGGTGCCATGAGCGGTTTCATCCAGATCAGTGCTTGCCCTGCATACACGCCCCATGCACCAACTCCACAAAACTGCGATGTGTGACCACGCCTCCATTCTGACGGGCTGTCTCAACCCACTGGACGATCCAGTTGGTCCTCCTCTCGGACAACCCCACTTCAAATTTGCAGTAGTCCAATCCCACGAACTGTAAACACACTTCGCCTCTGAACTTCGGCCACCGGCATGGTGTACCAAGCATCAGCCACAACATGAGCATGTACCAAATGCGATCGTACTTGTCTTCCCCTGCTGCTACCATCTTAAGGTCGTCAGCAAACAACAGCTGTGTTAGGCAGAGCGCAGCGCAGTGGAGCACCTTTGTTGCGTCACATTTGAGCCACTGACAGTCATCAACAGCAGTGCGTGTCATCCTTGTGCGGTGGCCATGTAAACCGGTCATGCACACACTGAAAATGTTTGACACCCCGCCTCAGGTTTTGTTTGGGCGCAAGGTAAACCAAAAGCTGTACATTGCACAAGGTAATCAATGGTTTCTCCTTCGGGGGAAATCTTGGTGAATGAACCGTTGTTCACAGAAACTTCCCCACTGTTCTTGATACTTCTTACCAACCACAATGTCGTTGAATAACTTGTACTCATGTTGATCTTGCCTATTCCACCACAATGGAAAGCCGAAATGAAGGTCTGGCTGTCCAGGAAACAGCGTCATTAAATGACACAACATGAATTCTCTGAGGCTCTGTTCAGAGAACAGTGAAACTTCCCTGATTCTCTCAGCTCTTTTGCGTTGACCAGGAGGGAAATGAGCCAGCAGCACGTTGATGTCGTGCAGGTCCAGTCCCACCATTGGCAAATCTGGGACGTCACCACTCTTCTCACTCCTTGGGAACCAGGTAGACTGAAATCCTCTACTGGAACTTGTTCAGGGGGTTCACGTCGTTGTGGAATCATTGGTCGCAGAGCCGCTGGAAATGTTGGTGTGTTCACCAGCGAAATGTCTGTTTGAACTTCCGCATCCGCCTCTTCATTCTCTGCATGATTCGCCACTTTCGTTCGGCTCCTCCATCTGCATCGGTTCCAAAGGGTCCAGTTCTTCCACGCCAAGTCGAAGTCTCGCTTGGCGATGAGGCCTGACATACCTAGCCAGACCAGTTGGAGTCTCCCTGAAATACTCCTCACCAGAATCCGCATCTTGAGGCCGTTCGTGGACTCGAAACTGCCTAAGCTCTTGACTGAGCGGGTCCCAGTCGTCCATACCATCGGCGGTCTTCGCAAATGCCTGACCTCACGAGATGTCCAGGCTACCACTCGTTGTCGATGAACTTGTTCACGTAGCCCGCCACGAAACCAAGGAAGACGAAGAACACCGCGTAGGCCGCCATGAAGCCGGGTAGGCACCGAAGATCTCATAGATCGAGTCCTTCGCCTCAGTCGCTTGCAATTCCACCTGGTCCATCTCCAATCCATTCGCCATCGGCTGCATTGCCATCAGCGTCACCAGCTTCACCAGGTTGGTTGAAGTCACAGGGTTGCCTACTTCAGCACTGTCTACCAAAGTGCTCATCATCACCTTTTTCACACTCTTCATGTTCTTGGCCATGGTTCTCCGGCGAAGCTCTCCAGCGAATTCCAATTCGCCAACGGCCACATATGAATCGCTCGCTTCGTCGTACTGCACCATGCCCATCAGGTACATCAGAAATGCTCGCCTCAATCTCTTTGTTCCCATGTCGGCCACGTTGAGAAGTGTAGGAACTCCTTCCATTGCCATAGCTCCTTCTTTGAGTCGTTGTTGCACCCAAAGGAACTTTGCGTCAATGTGCTTCAGCCGTCCAACTCCTTGCCGTTGAGAAAATGCCCTGCAGCTGCTGGAGTCTGTGACCGTGCTCACAGCCACTTCCTTTCGTGTAAGGAATTTCCATAGTCTTCCAATGTAAAGACCTTTTGCCGCACCACCAACCGCAGAGAGGTACTCGCTCTCGCATGAACTGAGGGCAATTGATCGTTGTGATCTCGACCATGATGTCACTGGTCGCCCATTCAGGAAAATCACAGCCGATGAAACTGAGAGTCTCCTCCTTGTTGTAGAGCTTGATTGGTCACCAGCCCAATCTGAGTCTGTGAAGACTTCCACCTTCTCGCACGGCTCTTCAGTTCCATCTCTTCCGTGAATTGAATCCAGTTTGCTGCCAAAGACCTTGTAGGGAAGCAGCATTGCATAGGATTTGTGCCAGCCAAGTAGAGGATCACATGTCGAACTCCAGCTTTGGGAAGTCGCGTACGCTTTGCCATTCATTGAGCCAAATGTCGAACGCTGTGTTGAATATCCCACCTGTCAGCTGAGAGATACAAAAGCGTTCCCATTGCAGAACGGAATTGATGAGCTTCTTGGGGGTCCAACCCCTCATTGTCACCTGACCATTGGGCCATGTCAGGTGTTGGTTTTGGCTTGTAGCCTAGAGCTCAACCAACTCCTCCACATACTTCTCGTGGGCTGCAACAATCACTCCATGCTGGGTGAAGTAATGGCGCTTCTTCAGAAAGCGCACTGCATCATGTGGATTTTGGTCTGGTACAGGAAGTACTTCTCCACCTGATACTGTGAAATGTTTGTTCCATCTCCTCCATGAGCCAAAGAAAATCAGGCTTTTCTCCACATAGGATCAGATCATCCACGTGGGAGCACAGCACCAGTTGTCGAGTGCGGTGTCGAAAGAGACTAGGCAACAGGGGCGTGTTCTCAAACTCCAGGGCTTGCAAGTGCTGCGCCAAGAAGTCAAAGAATCGAGCTGCACCATTACGCTGCCCAGGAAGCACACGATCCAAAACCCAAAAGCAATCCACTCCAGGGACCTGTTCTTCAGGTTTCCACCACGTAGGAACGCTCACCAGGACACATTCACGCTGAGGCACCAATAGGAAAGCATCCTTGATGTCCAAGAAGGATAGACACCAACCAAAGCAAACATGCATCAGAAGAACCAATCGGCTTCCAACTCCTGATGACTCCTTTTGAAACACCAAAGCCTCGGACGTCACACGCATTCGACTGTTCATGCGTTTTGCATGTAGTTGGGTTTCTGCTTTTGTTTGCACCACGTTTTGTGGAGTTGTTTTCAACTAGCAAGCAGGTAAAACTGAGGTGGAGCGGTTTGGCAACATCTAGTTACCCCGCGCTTGGTTGCTGAGTCTTTATGGGTCAACTGCCAAGCTGCTAGATGGCTACTTTACGTAAAAAACAAACAGCAACAAAACATCACACCATGAATCCACGGAGACTTCAGGTAAGTCCCAGTGTCACGGTCGTGGATTTCAACTGCAAAACAGCTTATCACCTTTGGTGAGACGTGCTATCTCAGTTACACTGTGAGATCGCGTTAACTCACAGCTGCTTCATCTGCAAAACGAAAATGCAAATGCCTCTGTGGGGTCAAGTTCCATTTTCCATCTCGTTGTTATCACCACAATGATGAATCTCCATCCACAAATCCGAATCTGATGCTTCTTCCAGTGAAATATGCAAGAACCTTCAAAAACACTCAGGAAGATTTTCTGACCCGGATGAACTGGCATCGTTCATCTCCTCATTGTTTGCATCTCCATCTGGATTTTCACTCTGTCGCCTCTCAGCTTCTTGGATGCACCTCATCAGGTCTAACCCAACCTGAAAAGCCTGATAGGCTTGTTGGATCTCATTCTGCTTGATGTCTAGCAACATCCCATGTCTTGGTGATTCTTCATCTTCCGATATCTGTCATTGCCACAACGTTGTCCAGCATGTTCTGTGACTCTGCTGAAGTCATACCACCATAGTCATAGCAAACCTGTACCACCTGCTGCAAAGTTTCCATGCGAAAACCATTGAGGACACGCTTGTTCCTTCGATGCACCCTTCCTTCACATCTGTGGTACATCCAAACCAGCATGCCTTCCACTTTGAACATCGGGTCTGCAAAGACGTCCGCGTAGACATGTCCCAGTGAGCGATCACCCATTGCATACCTTGAGGTCAGCGGTTCAGACGCTGTTTCTCTCCCAGCATTTTCCTCATCTTCAGGTTCAGTTCTGGTTCACGCCCACCAGGTGTCATGAAAATGACAAACACTCCAAATACAATGCACATTGTAGCACAAAGCGCAAGTGAAATCGGGCTCAGCCATAGCCCATGACCCAATGCTTGCAAGGTGCCTCCTTCAAAGGAGCTTACATCATTTGTTGTTTCACCACTGCTATGTCATTCGGCTAAAGACATCAAATTGCATGATGCCAGCACACGCAAGATCTGTTTGGCAAACTTATGCAGCTTCGAGGTTTGAGCTGCATGGCCACTTTCCATCACAACCTCGCTGACAATTCTCACCTGCTGTTTCAGAAGCTCTTTCGTCTGCATTCTGGCATACTCAGTCTCTCCAACCCTTTCACCATCAGCAGAAAAGCCAGACATGTATAAGCGGAAGTATCGATCTCTGCTCAGCCGTCCATCGCAGAGAAAGGAGATTATGTGTTATCTAACCTTGGTTCACCTCTCTTCCTGCGCAGCGTCCCTCTTGCGCGTTTCAACTTAATTTTCAAAAGTCTATGCACTATCTTCTAAACATGCATGCACATTTATATGTACACTCAAGTAACATATATATATATACATATTAAAACCCATCGAAAAAAACGACAAGCAAAACTGCAAAACTCAGATGAAAAGCACACAGGGAACATGATGGCTGACGCATCGATATTATGATCTCCTTTTCTCCTTTCAATAAATTGGGGAGTCGGCACGCTTTCGTGTTTGCGCAAGACGCCTTCGCATCTCACGCCCGGAGGGGTGATTTTTTGGGAGGGTGGGTCAGCCTCCGGGTAGTGAGACTTTTTCCCACCCACCCACCCTTGAAACTTAAAAAGACGGATGGAAAAACTGATCAAACAAACTCAAGATCCACATCAGGATCACACACAAAAGTGTTGTGCTTGTTTTGACAGTGTTTCTGTTTAAAGCACAAACAACAAGGTCTTGGTTGTTTGAGAAGTCAAGAAGTCCAACTTCCAGTTGCTTCTTACTGCGAGATTACGCAAGGAACGGGAGACGCACGCGTGGAGGATAGAGAGGGCGGAGGCTCCCCACGTATGAACCTGGTTATATAAAGGCTCATGTGAGACGCAGCTTGTTAACCTTGGTTCACCTCTCTTCCTACACAGCGTCCCTCTTGCGCGTTTCAACTTAATTCAAAAGTCTATGCACTATCTTCTAAACATGCATGCACATTTATATGTACACTCAAGTAACCTATATATTATATCACATACATATTAAAACCCATCGAAAAACACGACAAGCAAAACTGCAAAACTCAGATGAAAAGCACACAGGGAATATGATGGCTGACGACATTTGTTATGATCTCCTTTTCTCAATAAATTGGGGCTGCTGCTTTTTCCCGTTGCGGAAATGAATTTTTTCCGTTGCACGTTGCAGCGACTTTTGGGTTGCAAAGCTGGGCTTTCTCTGCTGCAAGTTTTTTCCTGCCTCGGCCTGGTTTTTTTTTGCCTCGGACAGTTTTTTCCCACCTCGGACAGTTTTTCCGCTGCCTCCAGAATGCATTTTTTTCTGCTGTAAAGGTGCTTTTTTTGCTGCTGCAAGGTGTTTTTTCTGCTGCTTTGAATTTTTCCGGCTGCGAAGGCATTTGTTGCTGGCGTTTTTCCCCGCTGCAAAAACAGCTTTTTTCCGCTGCAAGGCATTTTTTTCCTGCTTCCAAACGTGTTTTTTTTCCGTTCCGATGTTTTTTTCCTGCCGCGAACTTGTGTTTTTCGCGCTGCGCGGAGACAAGGAGCAGAGGACGCAGTCATATACTGTTCCGCTGCATCGTCTTGAAGCCTAGAAGGCAGCATGTGTCAACTCATGGATACACCATCATGGGCCTGTGGCAAGGGATTTGTTTCAGAGCGAAGCTGCCGGAATCATGCTTGTAGAACCACAGCAGAGCAGCAACAACTCACTCTGCTCGCATCCTGTCGCGTCCAACACAAGTCAATCGGGAATTACCTGCCACAAACGCCAAAAAAGATAGATTTTGGCTCCAAACTCGAAGCCAAAAATTGATTCCAAAAATGAAGCCATTTTTGGCTTCGCCTAATGAAACAATATAGAAGCGGTCTCCCAGAAATTGAAACTAAAAATGGCCTCTGTCAAAAGATACACAAACTGTCCAAAATGAAAAGAAATGTTGCGGCGCCAAAAAAAAACTCCCAGTGAATGTGCCCGACAACCCTTTTACAGATGCTCGCATAACCTAGGCGTATGTCTAGCATAAAGTTCCATTCTTCAACCAGCGAAGCACGTGACTCTCTTCATGCGTCATCACGCCAGAATCGAAGATCATACCCGTTTTTTCTCTATCATGTTGACACTGAGGAGGTACACTCATGAGTCTCCAGGATCACAATACTTTCCAAAGCTTGAATTAGATTCAACGAGCTCCCCCCTCTGCCCCCAAGACCAATGTTGATACAAACATAAACGTGAAAAATCGAACGTGCCGGTGTGCGATCAATCTAAGAAGCTTCTCGTTTGCACAACATCCAATATTAAAATTCCGGGGCAAGGGATACACATAGAGTAAAGATGAAATCTAAAGCCAGCAGCCAGACTACTGACGCAGTAGTTGCTGAATGGCAATCTGCCTGTGAGACACATGGATTTGCCATTCTCTCTCAAACATTGAGGTCTGTGCTAACGCTTCCGGCAACATGAGCAAGTATCAACCCGCCCGGAAAAGACTCAAGAAAAGCACGCTGGCTGCCAGTACTCTAACTTGCTGTGTTTTCACATGTACAAACCTCGAACAAACTCAGACCTCGAACAACCTCAACAATACACGTCCCATCGGACACTTTACAATGGCAGGAACACTTCAAGTGGCAAAGCTCTGGCATGCTGGTTTTTCATATGTACAAACCACAAGCAAACCTTGTTCAAACCTCAAATCTATGGGCGGAGGATGCCAGCAGGTGCCATGATTTTAAAGGAAAGTTCAATTAATTTCTTTTTTTTGCGCGCGGCAACTGTAGGTTTCGTCCGCTGCCTAGAATTGAGGTTTGATTGGGGTTTGTACATATGAAAATACAGAAGATCGAAGGTGTGGTCATGGCATGGCTTTCTGCAATAGAATGCGCAGCACAGAGATGTTTTCAAAGTATGCCTGGAGTTTGTACATACTGTCGAGGTCCCTCTATTGCAGCCATGTTTTGACCACTTTTTGGGCCCTGTTTTAGGGGCCATGATGAAGCAGGTTTGTTGGCATTCGAGGCGCTCCAAGGCTTACCGAGGCCTGCCCGAGGCACGAGGACAAAGCGAGGCTCACGGGGACTCGAATCTATATACTATGGGGGTACGCCCATGCGTCACCGCAAAGCTGCCTGTTTTGGGGCGCTGGTTTTGGAACCTCATTTTGCTCAATCTTGCGGCCGCTTCTTGCTACTTACATGGGGGAAGGTTTTGGCGGCAGCAGGTTCCGAGTCCTTTATGGTGGAGAAATCTATTGCAGGTTCTGGTGCGCGAGTTGACTTCAAGCAGCAGCGCAAAGCGTTGCGACAGGCATCTCCACTGTGTTGCTTTGGCTTGCAGATGCAATTCGTCACTGTTTTCTGATGTTGGCCCTCTTGAAACCATCGCGGAGAACAAGACAGAACAGAAATCGGCAGCCAAGCGCCGCCAGCGGTTGCTAAAAGCACCCCAACAGCCGCCAAGCTAGGATGTGCGTTTTCCCACAGCGCGGAGCGTATAGTTGATGAACTTGGACTACTATACCCTGAAAACCGTGGAAATTTGCGGAAAAACATGGCCAGCGTATAGCGTATAGTTGGTTCAATTCGACAAAAAGACTTTACTAAAAAAAATCTTTCTTAGAATGTAAGCCGACCGGCCAAAATGGATCTCACGCCACAGTGCGGAGCGTTTAGTAGGGTACTAAACCGTCTGG